GAGGCTAATGCAGAGGGGGTGGTCGTGGGATTGGCTGTAAGGCAACATCTCCCCCTTTCTGTTGTTATAGAGGAACACGGACTTTGCAGTTTTTTTTATCTATTGCTCGCCGGAGGGTTTTTTTTGCCACACCGGAAGACTTAAAACAAAATTATAATTAGAAACACAAATACACCAGCAAAACCTCCACCGAGGTTTTTTATCCACGTAAGTGGATTCAAGGAAGACAGCCCTTCCGCTGCTGCGGACAAGGCATCTTCTCCAGGAAGAAGCTGGAGATTAGCAGATGACATCTGGTCAATTTCTTGCTGTAGTTGTTGTATGTCAACAGTAAGATTGGGCATATGACCCAAAAGATTAACTCGTACCTCCAACCAAGGGGTACGTGTCTGGTTGTAAGAAAAAGGAGTTATACAATGAGTGGATGTATTCTAATCACATTTCAAAGTGATAATAGTCTGGAGACTTTTCAATTGATTTCCTAAATAAACCACAGTAGTTTCCAGATCAGCTAGACAGACACTGATTTTTTGATCAGTTTTTAATTGTTGATTTCAAGTCTTACTAGCATTTTCATGTCATTGTTGTACAAATTGAGTAGTTAGAATTGTCTGATGGAGGGCTACTTCAGAGACAGCAGCAGTAGTTGTAATAGCTATAATTTTTAAGATTGCTGCTATTAAAAGGCCAATAAATCTTTTAGTTTGATGTAAAATCTTATGAAGAATTTGGAGAACAATATGAATTGTTGGAGATCCCTCCCAAACCCTAGAGGTTTGAACAGGGATCCACAATCCTTTTTTATGTTTTAAAATCATCATCTGATCCTGAGGGTAATTAAAAGTAGAGGAATTAAAGCAAATAAACAATCTGCATAACGGGCATTCAACCAATTTTAAATTCTGATTAATAGTAAATTTTCCTACCAAAAATACAAATGGATTTTTAAGACAAACTTGTAAATATATTTGTCCAGTTTTTTCATACTGAAAGGTATAACTATTGTTTTGAGTGATATTTCCTTTCCATAATTTATTCGGTCCAGTGCTTAAAGCAACCTTCCATAAAGTTCTTTGATACGGACCTCTAATAGGTCTAATCATTCTTAATTGAGGTGGAGCCAAAACTCTTTCCTTCCAAAAAATATTAAAAGGAGTCTTAACAATTTTAGGTAAATTATTTCCAATTATTTGATCTTTTAATTGTTATGATTCTGAACATTCTTTAATGTTACAGACTTGAAGAGCAGGACCAAAGGGTCCCCAATCAATAATTGTTTCCAAAGTATTATTAATAATTATTCTATCTATTGTTCCACGACACTCATCCCAATGAATTTTGGATTGATTCTTGTCCCAAGAGTTAATAAGAGGGCAAGTAGGAGTGGAAGGTGGAAAACTATGGGTACTTGATTGTTGGGTGACAAATCCTTTGCCAGAAATCATAAATCTTAAAAGGTATTTTTTTTTCACTTGGAGTAGTCCAAGTTTGCTCTGTGAGAGACATGGTGTAACAGAGCCAATACATATGAGTTCAAAAATTTTAAAGTAAACATGGCTTTTCCTAATTGCACTTAAGGTGGCTCCTTCGTGTCTCCCCCTTTCTGTTTATTTAATTGTTTCTTGAAGGTAGAATTAGCATATTCAACAATAGCTTGTCCTTGTGGGTTGTAAGGAATGCCAGTATTATGAGTGATTTGTCAAGACTCATTATGAGTGTTCAGATGACTAATCTGTTGTTTCTTAAAGGGAACTACGATCTGATAAGGCTCTTGTCCACAAAGGTGCAGGACACGGGTACGAGTCTTGGATATTAATTTTGAAATTAATTCTACATAAGTCGGGAGTGTTTTAACAAAATTATTAGGTAGAAAAAGTCACTCAACCAGTTTCTCTTCCTGAATTATAACTGCTGTTGAGGAATGCGGTGTAGAAAAAAACAGAACCTGTAAAGGTTGATAAGGATCAATGTGTTGGGTCTGAGCTTCTTGTATTTT